TCTTAATGCATTTTAAAGCAAGATATAGACATTAATCTTGTTATAATTTCGTGTCTATTCTTGCAACCCATGCCATTATGCTAAGTGAGATCTATCTTTAGTCCAATTCATTCGTAGTGTAGTTTGGATCCATATTAAAATTAAGAAAAATAACATGAATTAACGAGATAATAAAAATTAGTTAAGTTATTAAATTAATTTTTAAGGACAAATTCAACCTATACACTTTTTTTTTTTTCACTCTTTTTCAAGGAAAACTTCATTTTCATCAACGCCAGCCTTTTCGTTGAAAAGGAAAATCACTGTTTTATTTGAAACGAGCATTTAAAGGAATTGAAAAAAAAAGAAAAAGAAAAAGAGCTCATCCTATATTCTTAAACAGAGCAAGGGTGAAAATTAACAAACTAGAGATTTCCCTTCTTCTGTACAGCAATTATAGGCCCATAACTTGATGATCCTAAAAAGTAATGGTGGCTTCAAAGAGTTTCTCAATCCTTCTTGTGAGGCCGATGGAGCATACTAATGGCCTTCTAGAAGCCCATAGTCTACTTCTTACACTAGGCAAAACAACTAAAATAGAAATGAAATTGCGGTGAGCGTGGATCGAACACGCGACCTTCAGATCTTCAGTCTGACGCTCTCCCAACTGAGCTATCCCCGCAGATTGTTAAGACCGTCCAGTTAATTAACTTAAAATAAATATCAAGCCTCCTCTGCAGAACGACTAAAATCCAGTTATATGTCTTGAATTGGGTACTATTTTGTTGTGGAAAATTGATGATAAAAAATTAGGATTAATAGCATGAAATGTCTCTTTATTTTTAAAAATTTGTGATAAGAATTTTAATGATTTTTCGGTCATGTTTTTAATCAAATCTGATATATGAAAAAAATATGTGTATATTATTATGTATCATGACACATCTCCATAATTTGCCATGTGAAAAAAACGTTTTTTTTTTTTGTTAAATTTCTCTCAAAGTAAAATGAAAAGAAGAACAAAAAAAAATATAAATTCAAGAAAAAAAAAATTCCTTGCTTTTCTCTCATTTTTCTCATGAAGCAAAAAAAATAATTAAGAGGTATAAATGTAGATTGGCAGACAAATTCAAGAAACTACTAGAAGAGTTAATCCTGGCAATCTTGTCAAAAATCCAAGACCCCAAAACAGCTAAGCGAGGTCAAAGTTTGAGGATGTGTAAGCAGATACAAGTGAGATTGATTGTTATGCGCATAGGCTGAAGCCTTTTGAGCAATTTACTCCATCCACAGGTCTAAAGAACAAAAATATACCACTCACCCTAGCAGAGGTTGAGTTTTCCCCAGCCTCAGAAGAATAATGCATTGTTCATCCCACATAAATACAGGAAAAACACCTTATTATTGAGCAAAAAAACCTCTTGAGTACTGGTTTAAAGCTCGTTTCAAGTACATTAGTGTCTTTTTTTTTTTTTTTTTTTTTTTTTTTAACATTGGAGGAATTATACTAATTTTCTTTAATTTTAGTAAGTAGAATCTAGTAGTACCTTTCCAATTCTAGTTCTGCCGAAACAAAGATAGTAGAATGATCTTCGGGTTCTTATCACTGTTCACAGCCCCAGAAGAACCCAAAAACAACCCCTCAGTAGGCCATCGTGCATCAGTTTGGTGTGAGAACATAAGATCCTAAAATATGCTTTATTTTTTTCACACATAATGTTATCTCATGCTAAATGAATCCAAATGTCGGGGCTTTGAATCATTAACATGAGGGAACTAAGAAATCAAATGAATGCAATGGAAGCAAAATTTAAAGAGCTACAAGCAGCAGCAAATAGACTTGCTAATGCTGCTAGGCAAGAAACCTATTGAACAACCACCGAGTGCCATCTAACAAAAAGTTAAGATGCCAGGGCAACCCAAGATATCAATTAACAATGCAAGGAACGAGTAATTTGACCTAGAAGAAAAGGGCAGTAATATAAAACAGAACGGATAAAGTAGAGGTTACTGGTTATCAATGAAGAAGAAAATCTGCAATTTATGATCTTGGCAAAGTAACATGTCAGAGTATATACAGATATTTGACGATTTTAAGATTTAGAAGTCAAGTCGTGCAAAAATATTGATGAAGCAGTCTCAATTTGTGGCAGTTTGATGGCTGAAATTAGAAGAGAGTTGTTTAAACAACCTATATTTGGAATAGAACATGGATCCCATGTACTTGATAGGAAAATTATTGGAACAATCTAACCCCAGAGCTCGACTCACCACCCTAATTTTTAGGATTTTTTAGATGCTTTAGAAAACAAAAAAGACATTGGTACATGGGACAGATGTTAGTCACACCTACATCATCCATCCATTATAAAAGACGTGTTTCCCTAAAAAGTCCAATTCCAAGAAGTTCTTTTCAGAAAGAAACTGACTAGCATCCATCAGAAACTGTTTCCCTCAAAAGCCATGTTTCTAATGAAAATCGTACAAATTGATATTGCATGCCATTATACTGTCTCGAGAGTCAACGGGAGTTATAAATTATGTTGATACTCAAAGCAAGCAGTGGAATCTTAAAAAGCTAAGCCCAAATGACGCAGAAGCTTCTCTGTAAAATTAATTTTATTTTATTTCAGAAATTATGTTAATTGGTTAGGAGTCATGCAATTAGCGTGCGACCTTTTAAAATATTTTTTAGAGCGCAAGTTTTGTATGACCTAGGGACCAAGACTGGTGATTTCTTTTCATGCAGGGATTACTACCAAAGCTTCACCTAGTATAAATGGACTGAGTTACTTCACGAGACAATCTTTGTCCTCTTATCAATCTATTTAGATTTTTGAGATTTCTCTATAAACCTTGAACTTAATTAATTCTCTAGTTCTAACTTCAATTTTGGTCATACTTCAAAATTTTTCAGCTGTAATTGTTCTTCGTGTTGTTTTCATCTTCCCACACTAAGACTAAATCAGTGCCTGTTTTACACAATAGAGATCAGCAATCCAAAGAGCTATAAAGCTGTCAGTTTAGTTTAAACAGGCGGCTGTCAGTTTTGCTCAAACAGGTTTTTTAAGAAGAACTACAAGAATTATGCAAGGGACAAAACAACTATGGAGTGGAAAATGAACGTCGGGTGCTACTGCTATGGATTACAAAAGGGAGTCAGTTGCACACGAAAGAAAATCAACATTGTCAGACATATTTATATATTTTCTAAGTACGAATTCCGATGCAGTATATACAGTTTTGGAGTAGCTAAAAAGCATAAACAAGAAACTTTACAAATTATAACACAAAATAGCAATCGTGGTAGCGATGATTCCAAGAACTATGTTCCAGACTTAACAAATAAATGGTGTGGCCACGAAAACTTGATCCAGAAACATATTTGAGGCATTCAAGAGGGCAGACAAAGTGTTTTGGTCAATCACTTTGGCACATTCATGTTCAAGCAAGCCTATAGTTGGTCCTACCAATGCAACATGTATGCTGAATCGCACATTTAAACCTAAAACCAGATGTTGTTTAAGCCAGCTTTCCCTCAATTTCCTCCTTTTATATCCTACATTCCATTTTTTCAAAAAACCCAATCAACCTAAAAGCAATCAACCATCAAAACACAAACCAAATTTCTTCAACAAAAAAGTGTTTATTTCACTATTAACTGCCGCACCAAAGCCTGACGCACGTCCCCCCATAACCTGTCTTGCGTTGAAGTGATTCAATAGAACATCTTGACCATCAAAAGAACCATTACCTTTGAATGCATGGACAGTAAACATCACAAAGAAATAACTAAGCAGAGACCAAGCATTATAGTGGTTCTTAAGAAAATATCAAGGGAGAGGGCTTATGATAATGACGGATTGGCCAAGCACTGAAGGACATAGGGACAAGGGTCCTGAGTGCTGGAGTGCTTAAGATTCAAACACTTCAATTCCCGAAATATCAAAAAGAAGAAAAGGGAAGGTAACAGGCCAATAAGTTCAAGAATCTCAGTAATTACTTCATGAAAGTACAAACTATGACTTCATCATGCTACCCAATAAACTGCAAAGACTTAATCTGCCTAGAGATTGAAAGAATATTATACTAACAAGTGATTAATTAGTGCCAATTTTGTTGCACACTCTAATGTTATTGGTTCAGGCAAACACTGATGTTGGACAGATTTGAGGTCTCTGTTCTACAAAAGATTTGAGGCAAGCTAGGGTTTACTGTTTGTGAAATTAGGGTAGAATAGAGCTTGTTTAATTAGGAAGAAATAAGGAGAAATTAGAGCAGTACCGTAGCAGCAGAATAAGAAAACAAGAAAGAAGAGCAAGAGAACATATTAGGCATAAAGGTTTCAAAATAACTCTAAAACACAATTTATTTCATAGTTCAACTCTATTGAAAATTAAAACATAGACTCCCTAAAAGATTAGAATAACTAACAAATTAATAATAAAATACTAAATAGAAAATAAAACCTAGAATTAGAGAAATTTTCAGATTCTCCAAAATTGTCTACAAAAAGATACACATTCTGCTTCCTTTGTTGTCCGCATCAAACACACACACCTGCAAATTAAAGACGAATCACAAATACATCTTCCGTCCTTCCACCCCTTTCCTCTACATCACTTTGCTTACCACATTATATAGTCTACAAAACAGATGGTACCAATTAAAAACTAACACAAGTCTGCACGAAATTACTCTCTGTCCTTCAATTCCACCACTTTTGTCCACGTCACTTCAGCAAATAGGTTTAATAAAATCAATTAAAAAACCAGCATGCATTTGCTCACAAGAGAGAACCTAAAACCTATCCCAATTCTAACCAAAAGAAAAAAAGAAGAAGAACTCTTAATTTTTATAGGCAAATTAAATGAAATTTTAGCACAAGTCCTGCTTGAAGTCATGCCTTTTTTTAATGAAATAAAATAGAGGTTTGATAGCATATTGAGTTGAATTTCCCGCAAAAAGAGTAGAAGTTTGATAGCATGCCATGGGCTTTATTTTTTTATTACTACAATATACTATTGTGAAGAGTGAGAACTTTTTACCTCCACAGTGAAGAAATCGCGAACAAATGCAGCATCGTTAAGGGGAAGAGCGTACTCAGAAAGTGCAGTCATGAATACCACCCCAGCAACTGTCTTTTGGACTCTGAACTTGATGCAATCGACAATGGTGTTTTCATCCACCGGTGGGTTGCCAATGAGCAAGCACAAGATGCCATTGCCCAGATGAAGCAGGCTGTTCCAGCTTGCGATATGCAACTATAATGGAAAGGGCTTGGACCAGGCAGTATCCAACCATATCTTATGAACCAGATCATATGCAAGAATAGCTTTAGATAGTATAGATCCATTATCGTAAAAATAAAGAACGTCATCCACAACAACAGATGTCTCCCACTCGAAATCAAAATGAGAGAATTTTTCATCACTGCCGACGCAATCCCACGTTTGACTCTCTAAAGAGTAAGAGTATATCTCGGTACCCATAAAGTACGCTAGAAATCGGCCATTAGAAGAATCGGAGATGAGTGCGGTAGCACTAGGAGAGCTATTAGGTAGTTTATCCTCAATGTGACGCTACAACAAAAATGAGTTTTAGCGAAGGATATTTAGTGACGGGTCAATAAATCGTCGCTAAATATCTAGATTAGCAATAATTTTCTATACTTTAACAACGGTCTAAAAAATGGTTACAAAAATTAAATTTTACGATGGTTTTTTAGCAACGGTCCACCAATCCGTTGCTAATGTTATAGGCTAAACATTTTAGCGACAATTTATAAATTTAGCAATGGTCTAAACCGTTGCTAAACCGTTGGTAAATCTCATTTAATATATTTTTCAATGGTTTTTTTTTAAAAAAAAAACCTAAATAAAAAATAACTTTAGCAACGGTCAAAGCTCGTCGCTATTCCGTTACCAAAAAGAAAATTAGCAATGGTTTGGTGTTATTAAACCGTTGTCAAAATATTCGTTTTAGCAACGGTTTAAACCATTGCTAAACCGTTGGTGAATGTTATTTAATATATTTTTCAATGGTTTTTTTTTTAAAAAAACCCTAAATAAAAAATAACTTTAACAACGGTCAAAGACTGTCGCTATTCCGTTACCAAAGAGAAAATTAGCAATGATTTGGTGTTATTAAACCGTTGCCAAAATATTCGTTTAAGCGACGGTCCGAGACCGTCGCCAAATCAACTCGGAAACGGTTTAGCGACGGTCTAAGACCATCGCTAACTCGTTGATAATTTATTTTTATTATTTTAACGATTGCAAAAATAACCGTTACAAACGTTAATTTAGCGACGAGTCAAATCGTCCCTAAAAGTAAACCGTTAGTGGGAAATGGTCAAATTTAATTTCGAATTTATGTTTAGTGACGATCAACTTTACCCTTCTATAAATAGCGAGTCGATTGGAATCTGCCATTTTTGGTTTTCTTCTCCTTTCTTCTTCTCCTCCCGTAGCCGACATCTCTCGCCTTTTTTTCTCCAATCCTTTGCTCTCTCTCCTCAAAGCTATTGTTTCCTTAAAATCTCCATATTTCTTCCCTCTTTTCCTCCTCCTTTCAAGTTTTCTCTCTTCCGTTGAAGCTGTCGTTTTTCGACGACCATATTCTTGCGAGATATTTTTTTCAACGGTTGCCCCCCTTCTTCTCTTGGTGACAGGGCCACCTAAATCTAAACCATCCTTTCAATTATTAATTTTTTCAGTTATTTATTTATGTCAAATAATTAGATTTTAAAAAAAAAATTTAATTACTTATCATTGCTAATTTAATTATTGAATTGATTGTTCATTGCATGTGTTTTTTTAATTTGATTATTTAATTAAAATTTATTTTGTGTGTTATTTTAATGTAAATTGTGATAGTTAATTGAAATGTTTAATTGTTAATTTAATATTAATTGTTAATTGTTATGTTAATGTTGTTGTTAATTATTGATTAATTGAATATTATTGTTAACTTTTTAATTTTGTGTTATTTTTTTAATTGTTGATTGAATTAATTTGATTGTTAATTGTTAATTTACTTACTTTAATTTATTGTTAATTTTTTTTGTTAGAAAATATAATTGTTATATTTTATTTTATGTTGTTATTTAAATTGTTATTGTTATTGTTATTAGTGTACCTAATAATTGTTAATTTACTTAAGTAATTCACAATTTATTGAAAACATTATTAATTTCAGTAATTCCTAGTTCATTAAGTTAAATCGTTAGGCTAGTACAAAATAAATCAAAACAATTTTCTAAAATTAATTTTAAATAAATAAAAAATATTTGTAATTGTTAGGAATTAAATAAATAATTAAGTTGCCTTTAAAAAAATTTCTAAAATAAATTTTAAATAAATAAAAAATAAAGTTATTAGAAATATTTGTAATTGTTAGGAATTAAATAAATAATTAAGTTTGTATTTAAAATTTTTTTGAAATAAATTTTAAATAGATAAAAAATAAAGTTATTAGAAATATTTGTAATTGTTAGGAATTAAATAAATAATTAAGTTTGTATTTAAAAAAGTTTTTGAAATAAATTTTAAATGGATAAAAAATAAAGTTATTAGAAATATTTGTAATTGTTAGGAATTAAATAAATAATTAAGTTGTATTTAAAAAGTTTTCTAAAATTAATTTTAAATAGATAAAAAATAAAGTTATTAGAAATATTTGTAATTGTTAGGAATTAAATAAATAATTAAGTTTGTATTTAAATTTTTTTTGAAATAAATTTTAAATAGATAAAAAATAAATTTATTAGAAATATTTGTAATTGTTAGTAATTAAATAAATAATTAAGTTGTATTTAACATTTTTTTCTAAACTTAGCTTGTTTATATATTTAGAAAATAATTTGTGTGTAACAAAAAAAGATTTTAGGTTTAGTAATAAAAGTAATTTAAGTAATTACATAAATAATTAATACAATTACTTTATTACTATTTTGTTTAAAATGAATTTGGATCGCTCTTGAATTGACTTTAGATTAAGCTGGTGGATTATTAAATAAGGGTTTTGTAGAAGGAGTTAATGAATTTATTAACTTTACGGTTAGTCATCCACGAGTGCATGGATGAAAATAAGATACGATGTCCATGTAAATAAAAAAAATGTCAAAATCGTAGTTATGAAAACCCCGATACCGTTAAGTATCATTTGCTTAGATATGGGTTTGTGTCCGGGTATTATGTGTGGAGACGTCATGAAGAGAATGATTTAGCAATTAATGCCAATTCGTTTAATAATGTTGAACAAGAAAAAATATGTGATGATCGTCAAGTTAATCGATACCACACAATGGTGATGGATGTAGCTGGTCCATCTTTTAATCCATCTAACACGGACAAAGACCCAAACCCTTCGCACAAGCATTTTATGATTTATTAGATGCATCGAATAGAGAAATATGGCTCGGGTCGGAAAATCATTCGCAGTTATCTACAATGTCTCCTTTGTTGCATCTCAAGTCCGAGCATCATTTTTCGGAGAGATGTTACGACGATTTATGTCAACTTATGAAAGAGTTTTGAACCTTCACCGGACATGCCTCCGTACCACTCTTCCGGTGACCCATTCACATCCCGTTCCATGCCTGTCATGTCTCGGCCGCGACCTTTTGAACCTCCATATCAACCTCCCTCATCTTTTCCGTCGTCATCGTCGGTGCCTTCGTCATCACATCGGGACAACCGTTTCGTTCCTCAACACGTTCCACCCCACAATGTCCCACGTCAATCGGCTTCGGAACCAATAACATCCGCAGTTGACCATCGAGTACGAGTCATTGTCGTTGGGCGCAATTAGTATGGTTTATGCTTAATTTAATTAAAAAAAATTTTGGTTACCGTTATTATGTACTCCGTTATTTATGAATTTAATTAATGTTTATTTTTTTGTAGGTTGTATCCATCCGATGTTTGCTCTCGCTCGATCGTTAAGACATTCCAAGATTACGTTCATTCTTCGGGATGGATGTGGAAAAAAATGACTCCGGAGACAAGATTTTTACTGGGAAGAATTTAAGGTTTTAATTTCTAAATTTTATTTGATTAATTATATGATTTAATATTTAATTAAATTGTATAAAATAATATGAAAGTAAAGTTAGTAGTGTTTATTATTTTTTTGATAGAAATCATTTAAATGGGATGATGATTTGAATGAGAGCATAGTTAAGAAAGCATGGGAAAGTCTCGTACGGAAGCGATATTCGACTTCCTTTGTCGTCTAAGGAAAAAATCGAAGCCGGTATATATCTCACAGGAAATATGGGATGCATGGACTACGGAATGGACGAAACCCGAGGCCGTTGCTCGATCCGAGATGGCGAGCACGGAACCGTAGGAGTGAGACCGGTGGAGTCGAAGCCGGTCCTTCTAGACATATGGGAGGATCAATTAGCCATAGAGAGCGAGGCCATACGCATGGTAAAAAATATATATTATTTAATTTATTTATAATTTTTTAAAAATAAAACCAAAAATAATTAATTAAACATCTAACTATATTTAATACATTTACATTTATTTATATATGTTTTCAGCGTAATGTGTTGGGTCATGAACCCGATCCTCACGAGGTTTTCTTGAGGACTCATCGGAGAAAGGTTAATGATCAATTAGTCTTCGTCGATCAACGGTCGGGGTTATCGGAGTAAGTGATAACTTTGAAACATTATTTAATATCCGTTAGTTAATAACGTTATTTGACAACCGTATTTGATGTGACGTATTTCATAATTATACGAGAGACCGTACAAAGATTAATTAATGAGGAAGAGGTTGTTAGCCGATAGTCGAGAGGGACCGAAGCGATCGCACCCGACATTAATGACATCTTTCAAAGGGCCGTTGGTGGAGGAGATAGTAGGAGGAAGAGGATGTATCGACTCGGCTCACATGCATCTCACTATTATTCAACTCGTCAATGCGGGCTCATCTTCTCGCTACTTCCGGATTCAATGCAGTCGACGAGGCACGATTGAAGGAATTACAAGAGCAAACATCTACAAACACGACGCACATCCATAGCTTAGAGGGTACTATGAACGGCTTACGGGGTAAAGTGGCATCATTGTTGGATACCACAATTGAGTTGAGAAACAATAGTCGAGAGTAGTTTATGATGATGTCACGGATGCGACAGATGTTCATGCGGCATTTTGAGCATGGTGGTAGTTCATCCGTCATTCCCGAGACCCACAACGACTCGACCCGGCCTCCGGACGACTCCATCCACCCTCCGACCGATCCTTGACGTTAACTTATTTTAGATTTTCTGTTTTCTTGTATTAACCGCAACTCGATGTACTATTTTTTTATTTAACAATAATGTAATTGTTTAGCGACGTTTTAATACATTTTGAATAATAAAAATTTACGTTTACGAGATTTTATGAGATTTTTGCTACTTTAAAATTGTTACTTTTACCTCATTTTATTATTATTTTAAATAAATTTATTTTTTAAATTAGCGACGAGTC